GACATAATGTGTATAAGTATGATAAACAAATACCTTGTGGAAATTGATATTGTCATCAAATGGAACGACGAACCCAAGCTTGGACTTGGTCCTTAGCCAAGTGATAGTGTTCCTACAAACAGGCAAGAGAATGAGAGCCATGTTGAATTTCAAGGTCTCTGCACTGCCTTTGGCCACGGAAACACAATAGCCCAAAACCTCGAACACGGCTCTGCGTTTGTACTGGAGAAATTTCCAAGCGAATAAAGCTATGCAAATGGATACCCACAATGTTAACACCCATAACCTTTTCCAATTTTCCAAGAAGAAGTATGATACATTCCTAGCAAATCTTTTCAATGGGCAACTCTCTTTTGTCGGTATGAGCTTCTGGCTCAACATCTTGTTGAGTGCCCGTTTATTCGGGGACGATAGATCGTTGTTTGATGGACTAGGAACTTGGAGAAGCAATGTTTCCAAGTTGTATAACTGCAAACAAACCATAGCTCAAATAGATACATAATGTCATTTTCTTAATGTGCTAAAGATTAATAAATTAATTAAGACAACGACGAACCTCGATATATCCGAGGTTGTCCCGATCAAGTTCTTCCATGATTAAGGCAGCATATTCCTCTACCTTTTCTTGAATCTTTGATAGTTGATTAGCCGAAGCACTTAAAGCAATAATCTACAAACTCACAAATACGCCGAAATAAAACTTCCAATTTTAATTTGTATTAGCAACGTAACCAAACTGAGATCAATTTAATAAGATTGTTATTTATTTATTTATTCTTCACCTCCTTAACTTCTTCTCCTGTAATACGTCCGTCCAAATTTTTGTCCACCCTTAGTCACATGAACATTATTGAACACAGAGAAATAAGACTAACGGGCTCTTATCATATTTTATAACAAGTGCATTAAAAGTTACCATAACTAAAAGTCTAAAATATAACCATATTTACATATTAAAAAAGATTTGCAGCCTAGCATCAAAACTATTCCCGGTGATCTGCTCCCAGAATTCGAATAATTCAGTTTTGGTGATCGACGTAGTCCCTGTCCTTCGGACCAACGCCTCGAATAGCTCGTTCACAAATTCGCTCGATTCATCCATTCCTATTTGAT